GAGATGCTTTCCCCACTGCGCTCTGTCACAGCCTAACTCATCCAACGTTCTCGCAAACCCTCCAAGAAAATACCTATAGTCTGATCGACAATCACACCCTTCTCTGGAAGTCCTGCCCGAACTACCCAATGCGACTGAATTGCTTGCGCGGTGTCTGCACTGATGAGATTGCGTTGCGCCCGTTCAAGTAAGGCTGCCAATTGAAAAGTTGTAGCAATGTCAAGGATGTTCAACCAAATCCATGAGGTTGCGTCAGCGTCTTTTGCCTCAAAGACGTCCAACCCAACCAGAACTCCAAATTCGTCAACGACTGGAAGTTTGGACGGTCTCGGAATCTTCGGCTCCATCAACCTAGGACATTCTGCGCGTCTGAACAACTTGCACGCTCTGATTGCTGCTTCGCTTGCACGACTAATGCGAAGCGCGCGCAACATGTCAGGTAAACGCGCGTGACCCAGATTGACACGCACACGGCGAAGTGCCAACCTGAGTTCTCAAGGAACACGTTGCCAATGAGTTTCACGCTCAGCGTTCTTGTCCTCCTCCGTTGGTGGCTCATCTGGTCTCACGCCTGTGCATCTTTGCCAAAAAGCATCACGACTAACTGCCTTGGTCAAAGGCTCTTCTAAAGGTCCTGCACTTGGCTGTGGCTTCTTCATCTTTCTCGCCAGCCTCGAAACAAGGATTAAAGAAACATCAGTTTGCGCAACCGCCAAATCAACAATTGCTTTGCCCAACTCACGCTGAAGCTTCAAAACTGCCCAATTGACTGCTCCAACGTCCATAGTCCAAGCAAGTGTTCGTTTCATCAACCCTGTTGTTGATTTGGCCACAATCTTTGTCCATGCGCCTTTTCGAACCTCCTGCGCGCGCGGTCGACGCCTTCTAACGTTGCTAGGCGTCAAAGGCGCAGCAACCATGGGAGTCATCGGAACAGGTGGCGCTGGAAGACTTGCTTCAAACTCTCTCATATCCTGCTCCATCTGTGGCGACGACCCTTTCTTCTCTTCTCCGCCGGCTGGCTCAATGCGCTCTGCTTCAATGTTGATCGTTGTCCGCCCATGACCTCGTCGTCATCCAGGACTGTGACAGGATACGCTTTTGCTCACTTCTCTCTTGCATGGTGCGCATGACCACAAAACCATTAACCGTGGATTGCTCAAGCCCTTGAGGAATTGCTTCACACAGCTGCTTCGGATAAACAGCGGCCTCTTTGGAACGATCTAAACCGATCACTTCTTCATGAGCTCCGGGACAGCAATTGCATTGCAAACCAAGCTGATTCAGGACACGTTCGTTGTTTGAAAGCTAGCCCGTTCTCTTCTTGACTGGTTTTCCGGCGCGACGATCAATCTGGCCAAAACGACACTGATCACTTTGAATGAATTCGCCAATGCCTTCTTTGACCAAGCTCATCAAAATGCCATCAAAAATCCAACTGAGCGCTCCACGGGATTCTCTATCAAGAAGCAACGCCCTGCTAAAGCTTGTCGTTTGCAAACTCTCTTGACCAATTTCAACGTCCTCCGACCGACTGTCTTGCGAAGAACATCCCAATTGATGCGTTGGTTCAAATTGGTCAGGGTGCTCCAAATGCCACAATCGAAAGCAATCAAAACAAGATATGGGTCACGCTGCGACAATGTAAGGAACAACAATTGCTGCTCCAACAAATTGTATAGCCGTCTTTCAAGTCCAGTGGTTGAGAATTCACCCAACTCCTGTCGCTGCTGCCAAAACGAGTCGGTGGAAAAGTGCATCCCATGGTTCAAAGTTCATAGCCTTCTTGAACCCATATGTTGCAAACTCTTCTGCGTTTTGTACCCATGTTTTAACGCTATCCACATTCTGTCAAGGCTGCTCGCTGCAAGGCCTCAAAACGAGCTGGATGCAACTCGCGTCTGGCATCCTGTTTCCTCACCCCGGGAGGACCTGCTGTAGGACCCTGCTTGCTCCAAAAAGACTGTTCTTCATCAAGCAAAATTGGTGTCATCGTGGATGTCAATTGCAAAATGCTTTCAACTGCCTGCCCCTGCCAAAAAATAAACAGCTAAATCTTCTGCCTCTGACTTCAGAATCGGACTCGTAGATTCTGGATTTGGTACTTCCTCGTACATGTTGTCGAGGGATACGCGGATAGCCCGGTGCTTTGTTCTGGAGTGGAACCCCCACCAAGCTCTTGCAAGCGAACTAACTTCTTCTTCGTGAAGACCACCGCGTCAAGCAAGTCTAACGCGGATCTCGACAACAACAAAGGTGCGTTCCCTTGTGGAACTTTTGCTGAAAAGACAAGACCTAGCCGATCGCCGATACATTGCACGGTGTGGTTTTACACGCTTCAACTCCTGCGTCTGAAGAACCATTGGCAAAATGAAACTGCTTTGTCTGCGACGTCTGCTCGCACTTCAGCCCCTCGGGCAGGCATTGCTCACTTGCTCTGCGCTCATTGGAACTGTGCATACAAGCGGCGCACGCTGTATCAATCAAATTCAAAGCCACCTTGGACTCATCAAGATCTTTAGCTGGTGGTAAGCAGATTCCATCAGCGGTGGGCATGTCAATGCCGGTTCTTCTGAATTCTCATCAGTGCCACTTGTCGAAGGAAATTAATTGGCGTGCAAACCTTGCTGGACCATCATGGCCCAGCCACTCTCGCCATCATCTTCAGCGAAACGTCCCAGGGGCAGGTCCTGCTCCTGGCGCCACCTCCTCAATTGTCCTCGCCAAGGTCTGGCAAAATCGCAACATGCCGTCGGTGAACGGCAAAGTGAATAGACAACCATGCGAGTCAAAGCGACTACACCCATAGAACCTGCCACCGCCTGCTGGATCCACTCTTTCGACCGCTGGTGCATCACACTTCTCACACGGCGTGCGCCAAATCAGGACTCCATCTCGGAACATCTGGTCTTCTGTGAACCGGCCTCCATGTCCAGCAAAACGCGGCAACTCTGGAGTAAGTGAACTCATCGGCGAATGACTTGGCGCCGGCGCCATGCCTGATGAACTGGGAGAACTTCGGTGTGGTTGGCGGCCTCTGGTCCTCCTCCTTGATCTTGCGGATCACATACTTGCGTGTTGCGCCACGCTTGGGAACTGGCTGTCCTGACAAGAACTTGTTCAATCTCTCTCTCAACTGCTCCTTGTTGAGCCCTGAGTAGGCGAGGTCAAAGCCGACGCAAAGCTCCTGCAGTTGTGTTGTTGCTCTCTTGTCGTTCAAATTGGTGACCTGTGACGTAGACCTCCTCAACGTCAAGTCCGACTTCTGTCAACGCCGTCACTGCCACCTGTGAACTCTGAGCCATGGGCTGGTATGGGACACCGTCTACGATGAGAGTGGCGGAGGCGTAGCCTGACGATGTCTCCTCAACTGCTGGCGCTACACTCGTCCACGACGCCTTACTGTTGGCATCATCAAGACTCCGGCAAACTCGACGACGGTGACCCTCATCACCTGCTGCGTCGACTGGCACGTCGACTTCGTCTGCATCAAATGTCACGCAGACATGGCCCATGTCCTCATCTTCTGCTCCCAGGGTGAAGTAGTTGGGAAATTGCAAATCACTGACTGACCACATTGGCGCGGCCTTTCTTGCTCTTACCCTTGCTGCCTTTGCCCTTCGACTTTCCCTTCTTCTTGAACCCATGGGAACCGGTTGAGATCACCGGCCCAATGGTCGAGCTTTCCGCGTGCGCTGCAACGGCTGCGCTTCTTCTCACAAGCCGTTTGCCGCTCCTCCATAGTGAACTCGCCTCGAAAGTACTTCTGCCGCTGCTCACGATACCCTTAGCGCATCTTGCCCATGGCCTGATAGGCCTGATAGATCTCATCGTCTCCAGAAGCACCTGCATGAAGCTGGGGCGTCGTGGTCCAAATCCGTCTCTGCGCGGCATCCTCTTCATCCTTCTCTGTCTCAACTTCATCAATCCAGTCTGCCCACTCCTCATTGGACTGCTCCTGCAAACCATCATCCTCAGCCCAAGTGCTTGCCTTTCGATCCTCCTTTGCGACGAGCGTAGCGACTGTCTTCATGGCCACGGTAACGGGACTCCTTCTCATGGATGTCATGAAAGGAAATGCGCAACGCTTGTTCGATGGCAGCTTGTGTGCATGAACTTTTGTTCGACAACAGGCTGGCTCGGCGATCTTCTCAGCCTGAGATTGCAACCCTTCAACAGAAAGAATGCTTGCAAGTCTTCGCTCATGGAACTGTTCTCATCTAAATTTTTCAGGTCTCTCCACGCTTGCCTCCTTTCTCGCATGGGCTGCCCACGCTTGCGGAAGCAGCGGTCGAAGAACTTCTCAAAAGCCTCAGTCTTGCGAATGATGCCTTCCTTCCCCATGCCGCCCAAAGCCTCAAATTCGGGATCCTTCAACAACTCTTGGCAACGCGATCCAGGCATCATTGTGTAGGGCATCAATGAGCCTTCTCCTCTTCCTCATTCTTGCCCTCACCTTCAAGTCCACTGAAGGCGAACAACACACGCTGTCCGCTGTCGATACTCTTTCAGCAACGATGGCTGAGCTCCTGTAAAATGTGGAATACCATTGGCGTCAACAACGATCTCATCTTCTTTGTAAAAAGGAACCTTGCCAACAACTGATGAAGCCATTGTAGCGGAGTGCGGTTGGGAGACGGGATCCACCCGTCTCCGCTACCAGTTTGACAACTGGTTTAAAGGCAATCACAACCAACTGTCGAAGTGCGAACAATAAAAATGAAAGCACTCGAAACACTCGGCTCTTTTATGCAGATCGGCTGGGTCTTGCCATTGTCCTTGTGCAAAGTCGGAACTTTATGGTTCTAGCCCAGACACACGGCTATGGCGCACACGAAGCTAGGATCGGCGAAAGGGCCACTGACTTGCTTGTGCCTTCGTGCATAAGCTGCGGAATACCTTAGTGAATCGTCCTGACAGCACGGGTTGGTCAATCTGCATCATCTGGAACCTGTTCATTCTCACAAAAAATGTTGAAAATGCATGAAGACGGATCCAGCCTGGCCATCTTTGTCAAAAAGGATTGCGCGCGTGGACGCTGTGCCCTGGTCAATGGCCAGCACATAGGAGGGCGCCATGCTGTACCACCGACCCCAGCGAAACACTAGGCCGACTTGATTGGTACACAGGTACCGCCTGAAGCGCATCCAGGCTGCAGAACAAATGTGTGTCAGTACTTCCTCTGTCTTGTAGTCCGTCTAGTTGAGCATGCCGCAGTGCATGCCTGCCATTGCTATATCATTGCTCTATCGATCTCTATTGTGTGTCCATGCCTTTGAGGGTTCCCCTGGTGACCACTCTTTCAACGTGTTTGAGCTTTGGCTTCACAACCGCTCTTGGGATTGAAATAGTTGCGCAGGCTTCGCAGGCCTTGTCAAAGCTCATGTACTTCCTACAGAAAGTGCAAACAAAGGCTTTGCTGCTGCTTCATTGAAAAAGTTTGTGTGATGGCTTTGCTCATGTGTGCTCGGATTTCCTTCGTCACACGATTCTGATCTTTTTGTCGATCCAATCCAGCCGTCTTTGGTCTTTAAGCTTCGGAGACCATATGAGCATCCCAAAACCGGTGGGTACCCAAGAGGACGAGAACAGCAAGGTTATCAATACCATCTGAAGCTTGCAGCCTATGTACTGCTCTTCCAGGTGTCTGCCAAATTTCTCTATCTCAAGAGTCCCACGACCACTCTTTACTAAACCCCGGTTGTGGTGCTCATCTAAGGCCTCGCCTCGCCCTTCAAGCAAAAATCAGGATGGCCACTTGATGCGCTGCTATGAAACAATCATAATTGATCCCCCTGCGGTGGATTGAAAGCTAGTGTTCCATGCCACGTGCAGACCTGGTCGACACTGGCAGCAAAGCAAGTAGCCGGGCACTGTTGCATTGAAACCGTGACGATTCGACGATGGAAAGGCACAGACCCTGGGCACAAGGATTCGATGATGAACAGATTACATGCAAGTTTCCTTCAAAACCCGGTCATCATTTGACATCAGCAATGCCATGAGTGCCCGCACCGCTACCACCGCCACGGGACAACGTAAACTGATCGATCCGAATCGACAGTGTTCGACGATCATACCAGAATGATCGCAGCATGGCAGCTCATTCCAGTGTCTATGGCGGTCACTGGCTTCGACAAATTGGCAGCACGAGTTGAATCGAGCGAAGTGAGCTCAATACAGTGAGATTGAAAAAAGAAGACCTGAAAAAATCATGGGTGTACACATTTGAGAGCTTCGTTCCGCCAACCAGGAGGCCAGTGGACAACCTGACCTATCTAAGCAAAAGAAACAGAATCCCAAACCCAGGCAATCATGGCTTCAAATGACCAGGTTAAAGGTGATGTAGGATAGGGCAGGGGGACCTGAGAGCCATTTTAGAGATACAAAGTGTTGAGGCGTGACCCCCCATGTAGTATACTTTGGGGGAGGGACCTACCCGACCACTTATATAAAATGGCTGGGCCCCACCTCAGTTTGTGATGTCTGATTCTCTGTTTCCTGCGTTCAAAGACTACCTTTTTCTTTCCGTCGCAGATCTTCTCTATAAAATCAAGACCTAACCCCCCACAGGGGTAGGCATGAAACGTTTTCTGAAGCACCATGACCCCCCCCGTTTCATAGGGGAAACCTACATGGGTATCCAGGTTATATGCCTGAAACACTCATCTCTAAGGGGTGGGCCATATGTCGACTTTCAGATTAGTGGCTTTGGATCGGGCTAAAGGCACCAAAGTCACACATTCCGAAGGAGAAGCCCGAAAACCCAAAGGTCAAGAGGTGAAGACCAAAACGCTCGTAGGATAATCAGTGTATGATCACAATCCAATAGCAGTTTTTCACATCGAACTGCCTGGTTTTCTGTTGGAAACCAGTCTCGTTCGCTGATCCGCCTGGCATAATGAAAGATGCCAGCGTCCACAGGTTGGGTATGGGCTTGGAATGGGGTCCCTGTTTGCTTTTGGACCGTCACTCGACACACCCTGCATTCCGTGGGCTAATCTTTGGGGGCACATCCAACGCTGTCAGGAAGCCCATCCACCCATGATAAAAAGTTGATTTAAGAATGTAGGATTCATCAGCACACCCTTTGAACATAGGGTTGGCTGAGTCACGTGCCAACTGGAGAGCAAACACGCTTGGCAGCTTGGAAGCATAGGTGTCAGGAAGTTGACTTGTCAACTTCAGAATGGGTGAGAGCTGTCCGAGCCGCCCTGGCACCCATGTACTGATTCAACAACGCAAAACAGTTAATCGAAAAAGCCAAGCTGTGCAAAAGTTCCCAGTTGCCTTAGCATTTTCAGCTAAACGCGCGAAGCAGCTGACTTGGGCTGTGACCGAAAGGCTACAACTGTGAATTGTTAAGGGATTTGACAATAACCTCAAGCCTTTGGCCAACTGCGCTTTGTGCAACATTGGAAAATGATGGCAAGGCGTTTGGAAAGTTGTTTATTTGCTGGCTTTGTTGGCTTTGCTCCTTCGGCTCATTTAGAGTCCAACCTGTTTGGCAATTCCCCTGCTCGTCTTGCCTCTGCCTTCAGCAGCCTTTGAATTGGCAAAAGAAATGTGGCATATCGGCATATCGGGTGATGCACTGTGAGGGTTGCCCAACTTTCCTCGGCACCGATCAAACAACTACGTAATTATGTCATGGGTAGATCAAATGTGGAATGATGTGGAATGCATGTGATATTGTGTGAGCTTGCGTTCGTTATATATCGTTAGATTGTATAGTACTATATTTAGTACAATTATATAATTACTGTTCTCAATATTGAGAACATGGATAAGAGTTCAGCAACCCTTACGACCCACCTCTCAATCTCCACCGAAAGACAGCGTGACAGTCCAGTTCCTGGGTCTCGAAGAACACAAAGAGACAGGACTTGCAGATTGCAACAGGATTTGCACACCTCATGGGGCATCACATCACCCTCCCCAGGGGGGTGAGATTGCACACAGGAACTGGAGTGCTAGTCAGCTGCCCCATGGTTTCTTAAACCAGGCAACCTCGAGCCTTTCAGTCGGATGTCACCCTGAGCTCAAGATTCTGTGAGCTGAAGCGACTCAGGCATGAAGACCAGCACACAGCACACAGCAAAGTCCACCAATAAACACCACTGGCTCATGTAAAATGACGAAGAGCTTTATCAAAACGGCATGAGACCAGCAAATGTCAGGCATACCAAAGGCAAACCTCACTCAGCGCTCAGACTTCTCCGCCTGCGAAGTTGACAGAGTTCATGGAACTTCTTCCATATGAGAAGAGTCAAAGGGAAAAAATGGAGGTCGAACCCACCGCTTTGCCTTCTTCGCATTGGTCTTCGAAATACCTTCACATTGCGCAAGGGCCGACAAGCAAAACGTGAGAGACAACACTCAAACAAAGCCAATCGATACAAGTTGCAGAAAGTGAAGGGTTTGTCGCGTATGCAATGTACGTTGCTTACAAGCGCAAGATAGCAGCACTCCGATAAAGCAAACTGAAAAAATAAAAACACCTTGTTGATTCAACGATGATCTGTGATGTTGGTGCAATCGCACTGCAACTCTTTACAAAGCATCCAGATCAATTAGGCTGAAAAAAACACAGAAATCCGTGTCTGGGTCTAGCCTAGTCCTAGACAATCAAGCACCAGAGAGGCTTCGCAACAGGTCTAACCGGGCACATGCAAGAAATATAAGAATTCACCGAGTCAATCAAGAGCTCCCACTTTGATAGTCCAGGAACAATAGACATTAAACACCATCTTTCTGACTTGTAAAGAATACAAAGTAAAACGAAGTGAAGGAGTCTGTGCTGACAGGACACTGATGTGAAACTAAACGTGAGGCTGACAAACGTTTCCGCGGCACGTACCTTACTCGAGTCTCGCGGATGTTTCGATGTCTCAAAGCTGCTCTTCACATCTTCGTTTCGGTCTGTCTACATGTCTAGTTGGTGTCATAATGGAGGCAAATGGCTCCAGCAGAGCTCCAAACATTCGCTGCAAGAAACTGTGGTTTTTTGTTTCGCACGACTCCAAGACTCTCTGGAACTTTGTATCCTGACAACAAACCAAGTAAAACAAAATTTGAGATCCACCCGTTGACCATCTAAAACTGTGTTTTGAGCAGCCCTCACATAATCTTTCCTGTTTTCGACAGCCGCCTGCCAGGATGGAAACAGTGGGGAGAAGTGTCCCATTTTTTCAAGGTTGGGCAAGGTCGTCGCGGTAGGCGTGCCCTTCATCCGGAATATTTTGAAGAGCCTAACCAGCAGGTTGGCACAATTACACATGCATACATCATTGAAACTGTTCTCTGTGATTGCATGTGGCCGTTCTAAATTGCATTCCCAGCCACATATCAATCTCAGAGTCACCAGGGAAGAGCGGCCGCTTTGTTGCCATTTCTGCTAGAATGCAACCCAAGGACCAAATGTCAACGCTTTGATCGTACCTCGGTGACCGGCCAACTCACAAGCCACTAGAAAAGTAACAGTGTCATTCGGAAAGGCGCGCACGTGCTTGGAAAGAAACTGTTGCAACAAAAAAATCAAATACAACGCTTCATTTCTTTCAACACAAAAAGCGATGCTGAGATTCAAGCATGCACTGGTGCTGGTCCATCAGCATGAGTTCTGGCGCGCGGTACCAAAGAGTGACAACATTCCTGGAGAAGGGCACTGGGCATCCTCAGTCAAGTCAGGACAGTTCAAGAGCACAGGATCTCTGAGCGAAGGAGGCCGAGAGGGGTAACAGCACAGAGAGACAGAGAGGGAGCGAGCAAGGGAGGAAAGAAAACAGAGGACAGAAAGAAAGTGGTTCAAGCCGCTGGTTTTCAAGCCAAACTCGGGTGCGGGAACGTTTTTGCATCACTTTTGTCGTTGTAGTGACCTTTCCCTTCGCAACACCACCGCTGTGATCTTGGAGGGCGAGGGCATCCCTTACCCCAGGACAAGGGCACTTACTTGATAACCTTTGCCGGCAATCCTACTTGACCTTCAAGCTCTTTGACCCTGCCTCCTACCTTTCGCGAGCATCATGATGAGCACGAGCAGCCTCCTGGTGCTTGGAGTTTTCAAGATTTAGGCTATTATGGGGACAGGTTTGTGGGTGGCAAGTGGCAGAATGCTGCAGGTCTCCATTGCACCTC